ATTGATATCTCAGGGAGGCATGCAGAGGGACCGGCAGACAACAGAGATACACAGCGATAGACTCATACACAGAGACAAACAAACAGACAACAGAGACACACAGCGATAGACTCATACACAGAGACAAACAAACAGACAACAGAGATACACAGCGATAGACTCATACACAGAGACAAACAAACAGACAACAGAGATACACAGCGATAGACTCCATACACAGAGACAAACAAACAGACAACAGAGAGACACACAGCGATAGACTCATACACAGAGACAAACAAACAGACAACAGAGACACATAGCGATAGACTCATACACAGAGACAAACAAACAGACTACAGAGACACACAGCGATAGACTCATACACAGAGACAAACACACAGACAACAGAGACACACAGCGATAGACTCATACACAGAGACAAACAAACAGACAACAGAGACACACAGCGATAGACTCATACACAGAGACAAACAAACAGACAACAGAGACACACAGCGATAGACTCATACACAGAGACAAACAAACAGACAACAGAGACACACAGCGATAGACTCATACACAGAGACAAAACAAACAGACAACAGAGACACACAGCGATAGACTCATACACAGAGACAAACAAACAGACAACAGAGACACACAGCGATAGACTCATACACAGAGACAAACAAACAGACTACAGAGACACACAGCGATAGACTCATACACAGAGACAAACACACAGACTAACACACAAGAAACAGACTGACAAACAGACTAACAGACAGATAAATTGAATGGCAAACAGAGAAACAGATTGAGACAGTGAAACAGACTAACAGACAAAGACAAAGTCAGACGGACAGAGGCAGAAAATCAGACAGGAAAGTCAGACAGAGACAGAAAGTCAGACAAAGTGAAAGACAGAAAGTCAGACAGACAGAAACAGGAAGTCAGACAGACAGAAACAGGAAGTCAGACAGACAGAGACAGAAAGTCAGACAGACAGACAAACAGAAAGTCAGACAAACAGAAAGTCAGACAGAAAGAAACAGGAAGCCAGAAAGACAGTGAGACGGAAAGTCAGACAGGCTGAGACAGAAGGTCAGAAAGACACAGACAGAGAGAGAGAGAGGGAGTCGGACAGACAGAAACAGGAAGTTAGACAGATAGAGACAGAGACAGAAAGTGAGACAGACAGAGACTGAAAATCAGAAAGGAAGAACGTCAGACAGACAGAGACAGGAAGGCAGAGAGAGATAGAAAGTCAGACAGAAAGAGATACGAAGCAACAGACAGTGAGTCAGAAAGTCAGACAGACAGAGACAGGAAGTCAGACAGACAGACAGAAAGAGAGGGAGAGGAAGTCAGAGAGGCAGAACTCCAGACAGACAGACAGACAGAAAATCAGACAGACAGCGAAACAGAGACAGAAAGTCAGACTGGCAGAGACTGAAAGTCAGAAAGGAAGAACGTCAGACAGACAGAAAGGCAGACAATAAGAGACAGACAGTCAGACGGACAGAAAGTCAGGCCACCGGCATATAGATGTACTCGGTGATTACTGACATGACATTCGAACTGTTGATAGCGTTGAATTATACAAACTTCATGTCTGTGCACCTTGTGGACTTGCCTCCTGTTACTTGAAATAGTACCAGATAATGATGACAGAGCACGTAAATTAGAATGAACACAACGGGGTCTGACGCTAAACCAGCACTGGGTATAACAGGGTCTTTGTTCCGGCGAAAATGTTCATTATATGAATAACAGGTTTGACGTGGACATACATATTCAATATTTTTTCTAGAACTGATCTGAACTGAATTACCATAAACTATTTCTACATGTATTATAGCCTATTTGTTGGTGGCAGCACATTGTGGGAACTAAACTGACACGGTGAACTGTTCAACAGCGATTCACCTGGGCCACATCGAAGGTAGAGTTAGTGTGGACGGCGTTATCTTTGAAGATTACTGGCCCATAGTTCAAACAGAAATTGCTTACACGTTCTATTATCATTTCTAAGATGCCTAGCGGTTAGAACAATCGAAAAAAAAGTACATCATCAGACAATAAAGATATAGTTTTTTGATGACGTAACAATTGAATGACGTTATCCCGTCACTGCGCCATTCTAGTGTGCCCCCTCGTAATCGAACCATATCACATTACGTCACCATGTAATCGACGTCACGATGCATGTCAGTTGCCATCGCCTCGTACGGCCTCCTACAGTAAACTACTCTGTTGCATCCCGTTTCTTGGTTTGCAGTTGCTTCACGCAGATAACATCACTGGTGGAAACATTACATTTATGTTTTAAGACGGTTAAATGTGTCAATTCGACTCACAAGTTTTCAGCGACAGGGTAACGTTCGCAATGCTTATATCCCACAATGCAATCGTGGAATGTCGCTTGACTACTCAGCTTCATCTCGATGTACTGACCTAAACCTATGTTGGTAGTAGAAATGCGACGTTCATATTGCCCCATATGGTTTACGCTAATGACAGATGTAATTAAAATAATTCAGAGAAGATATTTAATCCGAACGTAAACCGTCATCAAACTGTTATCATTTGTTTTTTTCTGGCAACGTTCGTCTTAACGTAGGGGGCAGACACATCAATAGAACAGCGCGCCTGTCAGCCCTGTGCGAGGATTCTTAATTTAGGTCACCGACACCGTCGTTTGTTTTCTGCCTTAAATTAATCGTAATTATCCTTAGAAAGTATTAAATTTGGCATCTTAGAAAATAAATACAGTTCGCTCTTCCACCATGTATAGTGTAATAAAGCACACTTTCGCCCTGAACTATTATAACGTTAAGCACGGACGCAAGCTTCCTCGTACTTTAACTATAATAGTTCAGGGCGAAAATTTTATTACACTATATACATGGTGGTAGAGGAACTGTATTCTTAATATGTACTTTAACTATAATAGTTCAGGGCGAAAGGGTGCTTTATTACACTATACATGGTGGTAGAACGAACTGTATTTCTTAAATAATCAGAAGGTGTAATGTTTAGACCTCTATAGTCTTTGATTTTTGCCCTCTATTATGTAATGGAAATCTGTAAGTCTGACACTGCCCCCTCCCCCAACCTTCCCCTATAAACAACCCACCCCAGCATATAAACTCATGCAACACTATGTTGTACGCACACATGATCAAACAGCTCATCAATACAAGCATGTCTGCTGGGTGCTTCATGGGGAATGTATGATGATCTGCGACGCCCGATGTTATCACTTAGCTTTATATGGTCTTAACTGTTTGTGTTAGTAATCATCATCCCAGATAATCCCACTACGCGCCTGACTACACCTTAAAGTAGAATCACCCTCACTGTTGGTAACTGCTATACTACTCCCAAATATAGAAGAAATTCCCAACTTTACTTAAACATATATTTCTAATTTGAAATTGTATCGATTTAAAACTGGATAAAATAATAATATGGTAACCATTCTTTAGACAAACAGCCACTTTTAATCTAACCTTATGCACTTGATACATGGGTTACTATGAGAAGGGTTTTCATTTCACCTGTAACCATTTTCCAAATCATGGAACGAGTACACAACACTTGTTAATAGCAGGTATGGGATCCACAAGATGCAGTGACATACTGAAACCTAGGATCCCATGCTTACATTAAAGCTTAGATATTTAAACCAAATTAGACCCCACATCATAGTTCTTTGTTGAATCAATGATCTGATCCTTAGCAAAGTGTGAATAGTATGCTTTATAAATACTTTGCCCTTGGTCGACAGAGTTAGTCGAAAAGGTTGCGCCTTTAGGATCAACAACATCATGTTGGTCAAATTGTCCTTTGTTGAAAAAGAAGATAAAAATCCGAAATTAGTAATAGACTAAAATACTAATTTACTCTAAAATGTCAGTAATGATGTGTTTTGTGCTACTCTCTCCGCAAAACAGGTAAGGCACCAATCCGTCCCTCAAGCTGGTTCTGCTCAGTTACTTCGCAATAACAATCCCAGGACCTTGTATTCAAACAGCAAAATGATATGACAAACGTGGTTTCAGGGGCCAAAAGGGGAAAGAGTGAGTGGTGGGACAGGACGGAGCACGTTGGATGGGACAGGGCAGGGGAAGGTTAAGGTGGGACAAGACAAGAGGAAGGTTGGATGGGACAGGGCAGGGGAAGGTTGGGTGGGACAAGACAGGGGAAGGTTGGATGGGACAGGGCGGGGAAGGTTTGGTGGGACAAGACAAAAAGGAGGTTGGATGGGACAGGGCGGGGAAGGTTGGGTGGGACAAGACAAGGGAAGGTTGGATGGGACAGAGGCGAGGAGGGGAAGGTTGGGTGGGAGAAGACAGAGGGAGGCTGGATGGGACAGGGCAGGGGAGAAGGTTGGATGGGATTCGGCAAGGGAAGGGTTGGATGGGATAGGGCAAGGGAAAGGTTAAGATGGGACAAAACAGGGAGGCTGGAATGGGACAGGGCGAGAGAAAGGTTGGGCAGGGACAAGACAAGGAAGGATTGTATGGGACAAGAGAGAGAAGTTTGGATGTTTACAGGGCGGAGAAGCTGGATGGTACAAAGCTGGGAAGGTTGGATGGGATTCGACAGGGAAGGCCGGATGGGATAAGGCCAGGAAGGTTGGCTAAGGACAAGACAAGGGGAGGTTGGATGAAAGGACAGGGCGGGGAAGGTTGGATGGGATTCGACAAGGGAAGGGTGGATGCTTGCCTAAAGGCAGGGAATTATGGATGGGACAAACGGAGAAGTTGGATGGGTTTCGGAGGTGGAGAAAGGTTGGATGCACAGGAAGGCCGAGAGAATTTGGATGGGACAAAGGTGGAGAAGGTTGGATGGGATAAGACAGGGAAAGGTTTTTGATGGGACAGGGCGGGGGGCAGGAAGCTTGGATGGGACAAAGGCGGAAGTTTGGATGGGAGAAGCAGGGGAATGTTGGATGGGACAAGACAGGGAAGGTTGAGATAAGGACAGGGCTGGGGAAGGTGTGATGGGACATGGCGGAAAGGTTAGATGGGACACAAGACAAGGGCGGAGCGTTGGATGGGACAGGGCAGGGGAAGGTTAAGGTGGGACAAAGACAAAGGAAGGGTTGGATGGGACAGGGCAGGGGAAGGTTGTATGGGACAAAGACAAAGGAAGGTTGGATGGGACAGGAAGGTTGGGTGGGAAAGGTTAGATTGGGACACGACGAGGGGAAAGTTGGGTGGGACAAAGGCGGGGAAGGTTGGGTGGGACAAGGCGGGGCAGGTTGGGTGGGACAAGACAGGGAAGGTTGGATGGGGGACAGGGCAGGGGAAGGTTGGGTGGGTCAAGACAAGGGAAGGCTGGATGGGACAGAAGGGCGGGCTGGATGGGACAAGGCGGGGAAGGTTGGATGGGATTCGACAGGGAAGGGTGGATGGGATAGGGCGGGAAAGGTTGGATGGGACAAGACAGGGGAGGTTCTATGGGACAAGAGAGAGAAGGTTGGATGTTACAAGGCAGGGGAAAGTTGGATAGTACAGAACTGGGAAAGTTGGATGGCACAAAGGCAGGGAAGGTTGGATGGGACAGGGTAGGGGAAGGTTGGATGGTAGAGGATGGGTAAAGGTGCATGCCAGGAGAAAGAGGGGAAGGTGGATTGGAACAGGGCGGGGAATGTTGGATGGGACAAGGCAGGGAAAGGTTAGGGATTAAGGCAAGGCGTTAAGAAGAGGTGGATAGGACAAGCGGGGGAAGGATGGATGGGACAAAGGTGGGGAGAAGGTTGTATGGGACAAGGCAGGGGAAGGTTGGATGGGACAAGGCAGGAAAGGTTGTATGGGACAAAGAAGAAAGGCTGGATGGTACAGAGCTGGGAAGGTTGGATGAGGATTCGACAGGGGAAGGCCGAGATGGGATAGGCCAGGAAGGTTGGCTGGGGACAAAGACAGGGGGAGGTTGGATGAGAGACAGGGCGGAGGGAAGGTTGGATGGGATTCACGACAGGGGGAAGGGTGGATGGCGCAAGGCAGGGGAAGAGGGTGGATGGGACAGGCGGAGGTTTTGGATGGGACAAGGTGGAGAAGGTTGGATGCGCAGGGGGCCGAGAAATTTGGATGGGACAAAGGTGGAGAAAGGTTGGATGGGATAAGACAGGGGAAGGTTTGATGGGACGGGGCAGGGGAAGGTTGGATGGGACAAGGCGGAGAAGTTTGGATGGGAGAGGCGGGGGAATGTTGGATGGGACAAGACAGGGAAGGTTGAATGGGACTTGGGGCTGGGGAAGGTGTGATGGGACATGGCGGAGAAGGTTAGATGGGACAAGACAGGAAGGTTGGATGGGACAGAGCAGGGGAGAGAAGGTTAAGATGGGACAGGGTCGGGGAAGGTTGGATGGGACAAGAGAGAGAAGGTTGGATATTTTTAGAGGCGGGAAAGGTTGGATGGTACAGAGCTGGGAATGATGGATGGCACAAGGCAGGGAAGGGTGGATGGGACAGGGTGGGGAAGGTTGGTTGGGACAATACAGGGAAGGTTGGATAGGACAGAGCGGTGAAGGTTGGGTGGGACAAGAAGGAAGGCTGTATGGGGACAAGACAAGGGGAAGGTTGGATGGACGGGGCGGGGAAGGCTGGTTTGGGACAAAGACAAGGAGAAGGTTGTATGGAACGAGAGAAAGGTTGGATGTTACAAGGCGGGGAAAGTTGGATGAGTACAGAGCTGGGAAGGTTGGATGGCACAAGGCAGGGAAGGTTGGATGGGACAGGGGTGGGGAAGGTTGGATGGTAGAGGATGGGTAAAGGTGCATGGGAGAAGAAGGGGGAAGGTGGTTGGAACAGGGCGGGGAATGTTGGATGGGACAAGGCGGGGAAGGTTGGATTGGGCAAGGCAGGAAAATTGGATGGGACAGGGCGGGGAAGGATGGATAGGACAAGGTGGGGAAGGTTGTATGGGACAAGGCGGGAAAGGTTGTATGGGACAAGAGAGAGAAGGCTGGATGGTACAGAGCTGGGAAGGTTGGATGAGATTCGACAGGGAAGGCCGGATGGGATAGGCCGGGGAAGGTTGGCTGGGACAAGACAGGGGAGGTTGGATGAGACAGGGCGGGGAAGGTTGGATGGGATTCGACAGGGAAGGGTGGATGGCACAAGGCAGGGGAAGGGTGGATGGGACAGGCGGAGAAGTTTGGATGGGACAAGGTGGAGAAAGGTTGGATGCGGGAGGGGCGAGAGAATTTGGATGGGACAAGGTGGAAAGGTTGGATGGGGATGGGACAAGGGAAGGTTTGATGGGGGACAGGGCAGGGAAGGTTGGATGGGACAAAGGCGGAGAAGTTTGGATGGGAGAGAAGCGGGGAATGTTGGATGGGACAAGACAGGGGAAGGTTGAATGGGACAGGGCTGGGAAGGTGTGATGGGACATGGCGGAGAAGGTTAGATGGCGGAGAAAGGTTAGATGGGACAAGACAGGGAAGGTTGGATGGGACAGGGCAGAGGCAGGGGGAAGGTTGGATGGGAGAAGTGGAGAAGGTTGGATGGGGACAGAGTCGGGGAAGGTTGTATGGGACAAGAGAGAGAAGGTTGGATGTTACAGGGCGGGAAAGGTTGGATGGTACAGAGCTGGGAATGATGGATGGCACAAGGCAGGGAAGGGTGGATGGGACAGGGTGGGGAAGGTTGGTTGGGACAATACAGGGAAGGTTGGATAGGACAGAGCGGTGAAGGTTGGGTGGGACAAGACAAGGAAGGCTGTATGGGACAAGACAGGGAAGGTTGGATGGGACAGAGCGGGGAAGGCTGGTTGGGACAAGACAGGGAAGGTTGTATGGGACAAGAGAGAGAAGGTTGGATGTTACAAGGCGGGAAAAGTTGGATGAAGTACAGAGCTGGGAAGGTTGGATGGCACAAGGCAGGGGAAGGTTGGATGGGACAGGGGTGGGGAAGGTTGGATGGTAGAGAGGGATGGGTAAAGGTGCATGGGGAGAAAGAAGGGGAAGGAACAGGGCAGGGGAATGTTTGATGGAACAAAGGGCGGGGAATGTTGGATGGGACAAGGCGTGGAAAGGATTGGATTGCGGCGAAGGATGGATAAAGGACAAAATTGGGGAAGGGATGGGACAAAGCGGGGAAGGATGGATGGGACAAGGCGGGAAAGGTTGGATGGGACAAGGTGGGGAAGTTTGGATTGACAGCAGCAAGGGAAGGTTGGATGTTTAAAAGGCGAGGAAGGATGGATGGGACAAAGAGGGGGAAGGTTGGATGGGACAGGGCGGAAGTTTGGAAGTTGGACAGAGAGAGGAAGGTTGGATGGGACAAGAGCAGGGGAAGGTTGGATGGGAGAATGGATGGGAAAGTTGGATGGGAACAAGACAGGGGAAGGTTAGATGGGACAAGGTGGGGAAGGTTGGATGGGAGAATGCAGGGGAAGGTTAGATGGGGACAAAGGTGGGGAAAGGATGGATGGGACAAGACAGGGGAAGGTTGGATGGGAGAATGCGGGAAAGTTGAATGGAACAAGGCAGGGGAAGGTTAGATGGGACAAGGCGGGGAAGGTTGGTTGGATGCGGGGAAGGTTAGATGGGACAAGGCGGGGAAGGATGGATGGGACAAGACGGGGAAGGTTGGATGGGACAAGGCGGAGAAAGGATTGATTGGACAAGGACATTGTAGGTTGGATGGGACAAGACATTTGTAGGTTGGATGGGACAAGGCGGGGAAGGTTGGATGGGAGAATGCGGGGAAGGTTAGATGGACAAGGCGGGGAAGGTTGAATGGGTCAAGGCAGGGGGAAGGTTTGATGGGACAAGGCGGAGAAGGATTGATTGGACAAGACATTGTAGGTTGGATGGGACAGGGGGCGGGGAAGGTTGGATGGGAGAAGGCAGGTAAGGTTGGATGCATACAATATGCTATAATATGTCGGGATAGTTATTTCAATTCGCTGTAATTATTTTCATCGCAACCCTAGCACCATGACAGTATGACAACTTAATTTCACAGTGGGCCAAATAATGACGATAATGTTTCCAGTAATTACAATATTGGTGTCAGCACATGTGGTGTGGTTGTGTGGATGTCTAATGGCGGTAACCCATGCAGCCTACACTAGTGTGTCCCTGCTACATGAATCTTATTGTATTAAAAAAACCTCAAGGGAGGGAAACACCCCGAGGGCTTTAGCCGAGACCCACCCGCAAACCGCCGTAACCATGGTTACAAAGACCGACCCACAGCCAGGATGTTCTGCTGGAGAGGCTCGTTAACAACCCGAAATCCCATCAACTGACTCACACAAGACTTTCATGTTACTCTCAACTTAAAGTAGTTAATCATTAAATAAAAATCGGAAGAAAGTTGTTATTTTAACTTTTTTCAGGTTTTACTACTGGTAAAACCCGGTTAGGTGTCTTTATTCAAAAAGTAAAACATCTAACCGGGTTTTACAACATGTAAAACCTCCAATTTGAGGTTATTATAAGGTTTTAAGCTAACTCTTCAATAATGGACAAACATACGGTTAGGTATATAATGGCACATCAAACCTTTGAATCAGTGAAATCAGTTCACACAGCCACTTAAGGTTAACGGCCTCTCTGGGATGGGTTGCGAGCCACTCTGAACGGCGTAATAGAAACACATCAACTTGTGATCACATTGACAAACCACACGACGTTACAGCAACGACGTTCAAACCTATTTTACAAATCTAAAACTCACTGCTCAGGTGTATCGGGTCGAACATCTTATCTACCGTACACTGACTACCTCTAAGGTGTACCTTGTCGACCATCATGTCTAACGTACACTGACTACCTCTAAGGTGTACCTTGTCGACCATCTGGTCGAGTGTACACTGACCACCTCTAAGGTGTACTTTGTTGACCATCTGGTCAAGTGTACACTGACCACCTCTAAGGTGTACTTTGTTGACCATCTAGTCCAGTGTACACTGGCAACCTCTAAGGTGTACCTTGTCGACCATCTTGTACACTGACCACCTCCTTGTCGACCATCTGGTGAGTGTACACTGACCACCTCTAAGGTGTACCTTGTCGACCATCTGGTCCAGTGTACACTGACCACCTCTAAGGTGTACCTTGTCGACCATCTGGTCGAGTGTACTGACCAGCTCTAAGGTGACTTGTCGACCCTGGTCGAGTGTACACTGACCACCTCTAAGGTGTACCTTGTCGACCATCTGGTCGAGTGTACACTGACCACCTCTAAGGTGTACCTTGTCGACCATCTGGTCGAGTGTACACTGACCACCTCTAAGGTGTACCTTGTCGACCATCTGGTCGAGTGTACACTGACTACCTCTAAGGTGAACCTTGTCGACCAAGGTGTACCTTGTCGACCATCTGGTCGAGTGTACACTGACCACCTGTAATTTGTGTTTTGACATCCACGCGCACTGTGCTGGGATTCAGGTCTGTACCGTGTGACAGAGAGGGAGGCAGGCGACATGACACAGGTCCACTTTCTCCATCATCATCTACATCATCATCACCATCATCATCATCACCATCCCTACACAATGACGGCTACACATGTCGCCCTTGACACACGACAGCGTCCATTGTACTGCTGTACAAATGAGACACATATGAAGATGTTTGTTCGCTAAAACCTCACCTGACGAACTGCATGACTTGCCGCGTCCTGACAAAGATTTATGACCTCAGAGTTCTGTTGACAAAACATGTCCCAGGTATGTATGTCGTCACACTGGAGAGGTTTGATGTAGTAATCTTGCTTTCGTTTACTTTTTTATCCATTCTGTAACAACATTTTCAGACAAACGTCGAGTCGATCAAAGACCTATCATCTGGAGTCGGGAGAAAGAGGAGTGGGCGAAGAGAGGGGCGTCTGTGCAGAGTCTGTGTAGTGAGTGCGTGAGAAGAGATAATCACCAGCTTTGGAACAATAATGCCATCAGGAGAGATAATTGAGCGAGTGAGTGAGTGAGTGAGTGAGTGAGTTTAGTTTTACGCCGCACTCAGCAATATTCCAGCTATATAGCGACGTACTGTAAATAATCGAGTCTTGACCAGACAACCCAGTAATCAACAGCATGAGCATCGATCTGCGTTATTGGGGACCGATGACATGTGTCAACCAAGTCAGCGAGCCTGATAACCCTATCCCGGTAGTCGTTGTTTGCGACAAGCATGAGTTAATGAAGATCAATTCTAACCCGGATCTTCACGGGTCGTGTATGAGTGAGTGAAAAGAGGTAATCACCAGCTGTAGAACAATAATGCCATCAGAGGAGATAAGTGGGTGTATGAGTGAGTGAGAAAAGGTAATGAGGTAGGTGAGGGACTTATATCATGGCGGGTCCATAAAGGTTAAGTAAAACGTTATGCAATTCCTTCACGTTTACAACTTCGACGAAAGAGATGGTTCTGACAAATTACTTATAATATCACGGGCAAATGTTGGATTCGATCTCACGGTCAGTGGCTACAGGCACGTCAACTGTGTCACCCGCCACCTGGAAATACATGTGTTTAACGCCGACCACATTGGCCAAGGGAATCCACCATCTTATGGGTGTACTGGTTCAACCCTGGAACAGCTTCTGGAACATGAGTACTTTCAGTCACACCGCGTTACAAACACATTATGACGGCGGAGATAACGACGTCCCTGTATGAGCTGCATCATCCCACTAGGTGACCTCCGCCTCGACCGCACTCTGTCAACCTGTGGCTGGCAAATACCAGCTGATATCATCATCATATTATGTTATGTTCATCTCTATGTGCACACATGCCGAACGTTTCAATATTCACGAACACAGATACCATGATGATCCCCGCCTCACCATCACGCTGCTGACTCGTGGGGGTCTGTCTGTATACTCACCCACAATTTTGGAATAGGTGTGGCGTTGGATGTGGGGTGGGGGTATGAGAAGTGTGATGCAGTTTAAGATGTGTTTTGTGAGACGTGTAATGCAGTTTAAGATGTGTGGTGTTGTGAGACGTGGGACGCAGTTTAAGATGTGTGGTGTGGTGTGAGACGTGTGATGTAGTTTAAGATGTATGGTGTGGTGTGAGACGTGTAATGTAGTTTAAGATGTGTGGTGTGTTGTGAGACGTGTGATGTAGTTTAAGATGTGTGGTGTGGTGGGAGTCGTGTGATGTAGTTTAAGATCTGTGGTGTGGTGTGGTGTGGAACGTGTGATGTAGTTTAAGATGTGTGGTGTGGAGTGAGAAGGGTGACGTAGATCAAGATGTATGATGTGGTGTGAGACGTGTGATGTAGTTTAAGATGTGTGGTGTGGTGTGAGACGTGTGACGTAGTTTAAGATGTATGGTGTTGTGTGAGACGTGTGATGTAGTTTAAGATGTGTGATGTGGTGTGTGACGTGTGACATAGTTTAAGATGTGTGGTGTGAGACGTGTGATGTAGTTTAAGATGTGTGGTGTGGTGTGAGACGTGTGATGTAGTTTAAGATGTGTGGTGTGTTGTGAGACGTGTGATGTAGTTTAAAATGTGTTTTGTGAGACGTGTGATGTAGTTTAAGATGTGTGGTATGGTGTGGAACATGTGATGTAGTTTAAGATGTGTGGTGTGGTGTGGTGTGAGACGTGTGATGTAGTTTAAGATGTGTTTTGTGAGACGTGTGACGTAGTCTAAGATGTGTGGTGTGGTGTGAGACGTGGGACGCAGTTTAAGATGCGTGGTGTGGTGTGAGACGTGTGACGTATTTTAAGATGTGTGGTGTGAGACGTGTGATGTAGTTTAAGATGTGTGGTGTGGTGTGAGACGTGTGATGTAGTTTAAGATGTGTGGTGTGGTGTGAGACGTGTGATGTAGTTTAAGATGTGTTTTGTGAGACGTGTGATGTAGTTTAAGATTTGTGGTGTTGTGAGACGTGGGATGCAGTTTAAGATGTGTGGTGTTTTGTGAGTCGTGTGATTTAGTTTAAGATGTGTGGTATGGTGTGGAACGTGTGATGTAGTTTAAGATGTGTGGTGTGAGACGTGTGATGTAGTTTAAGATGTGTGGTGTGGTGTGAGACGTGTGATGTAGTTTAAGATGTATGGTGTGGTGTGAGACGTGTGATGTAGTTTAAGATGTGTGGTATGGTGTGGAACGTGTGATGTAGTTTAAGATGTGTGGTGTGGTGTGAGACGTGTGAGGCAGTTTAAGATGTATGGTGTGGTGTGGGAAGTGTGACGAAGTTTAAGATGTGTGGTGTGGTGTGAGACGTGTGATGTAGTTTAAGATGTGGTGTTGTGAGACGTGGACGCAGTCTAAGATGTATGGTGTGGTGTGAGACGTGTGACATAGTTTAAGATGTGTGGTGTGGTGTGAGACGTGTGACATAGTTTAAGATGTGTGGTGTGGTGTGAGACGTGTGACGTAGTCTAAGATGTATGGTGTGGTGTGAGACGTGTGACATAGTTTAAGATGTGTGG